CCTAACAGGGCAAAGTCGGAGGGTTTGTTAGGGAGTTGATAGCCACAAACCGGGCAGGGTTCCCTTGAGGGAAGAGAGGGAGCCTCACAAAAGCCCCCCCCTTTTCCATCCGCCCAGGCGGCCCTCACTCTGGAAAGGATGGGGGGGTGCGGCTGAGTCACGAAGGTTCAGCCCGGGCGACTAGCAGCAGGAGGCGACTCATCTGCATTTCCAAAGGCCCGCCCCGTCCACATCCCCTCCCTGAGAAAGGGCCGGAGATGTGAGGGCTTACCCTAGAGCCCTCCGCCTGGGGGGATCCCGGGGAAGGCCCGCTCAGCTTTCCCAGGCCGCAAGCCTCCCCCCCCCCTCCGCCCCCGGCCTCTAGAGCGCAGGGCTGGAGGGTGTGCCCTGAACGACCAAATCAGTACGTCAGTGGCCTCCCGGAGGGCCTCAAGCCCAAACTGGGGACAAAGGGGGCCCCCTACCCTTCGGGCTCGGCTATCACGGGCGTGGAGAGCCAGACTTGGGCGCCGAGGCCCGGGTAGGCAGCGGGGCAGCGGGGATCCGACTCGGGTCAGGGCCGGGCCTGGAGGGAGGCGTCCCCCGCCTCGGGAGGTCCCGTTCGGAGTCTGGGGGAGCCTCGAGGCCCCGACCGTCCCCGTGGCCCTTTGCCACTGGCTCCCGCGGCCCCGCCTAGTAGTGAGGCGTCCTCGTGCCCGCAGGGGCCCCCGTGTCGGGAGCGGGGTCCGAACCGGCTGCGGAGCCCGCGCTCGTCGTCGAGGCCTCCTCGGGCCAGGGGCGTCCACGCGGGCGGCGGCCTGGAACGCGGGCGGCGGCGCGCCGGCCTCCCCTCCCCCCCGCCCGGCTCCGCCGCCTCCCTCCCTCCTCCCGCCTGGCGCGCAGCAGCCGCCACCGCCCGAGCCGCAGGCGGCGCGCGAAATGGCGCCCGTCTGGCCGCCTCACCCGGCGGAGGCGAGCGCGGGAGCCGCGGCGCGCGACGCCCCCGGGCCTGCGACCCTCCGCAACAGTATCCGCGACCACCCTCCGGCCTGGGGCGCTGTGCCCTGCGGGCTCTCGGGGCCCGGCCCGGCGAGGGGCGGCCATCGGCCCCGGGCCCCCAACGACAACCGGGGAAGAGGGAAGGAGGAGGAGGAGGGCGGCCGCCATTAGTCACCCACAGCCCGGCCGGCCCTCCTGCTCCCCGGTCCCGGGCCCCGGCCGGCGGCTCTGCTCTGAACCTGAAAATAAAACTCGTGTTTGGGAGGGAGGAGCGAGCGCGGCCGGGAGAACAGGCACCGCTCGGTGGCAGGCGGGAGAGATGCTGCGTCACGGTGCCAACATGGACGCCGGCCTTTTGTCCTCTTTTGCTTAGGAAGCGCAGGCACGCCCCGGAGCCCCGAAAAGCCAGCTTCAGAGTGCTAGCCCCACAATCAAAAGAGAAAGAGTTCCTAGGCCGAGCGGGGAGGTTTCCTCGTCTTTTGAGCCCCCCCCCATCTCCAAAACACTCAAAATTTTTTCCTCCCCATCAAGGCTCAGACCTAGAAAAGCCAGGGGGAATGAGCGCAGGCAGCTCCATGGATGCCCGAGCTCGCTGGGGGAGACCCTCCCCTCACCTCCGGGGCAGAAGGGACAGAAGGGCCTGAGGAGCCCTCCTCGTCCCCCCACCCCTCCCCATCCGGCTGCCAAACATAAAGCTCCAGAAACCTCCTTCTCCCCTCAGCTCCCAAACATCTGCAGCCCTTGGCCTGCTCGAAAAAAAGATTTCCTCGAAGGGGCAAAAGGCACTTTTTTTTTTTTTAACTTACCCGCTCAGCCCGGTGCCATGGAGTCTGGAAGATCAAGTTGGGCGGAGGTTTTGGACGTGTTATGTAAAAAATATCTTTTGGGGGGATTGTTTAGTTAGGATTATTGGGGGAATGGTGGTGTCTTTCCTGTTGTTGTTACCTTTTTGTAAGTTACACTCTCATGGCATTTTCTGCTCCTTCCACTTCTGCAAACTTTCCAGGGTTGGGTTGGCAAAAGGCGGCTTCGCTGAGGACTGTTTACTGCTCTGGATATAGCAATGGTGTGATCGTCATTAAGAGACAAAAGGCGAAAATACAGTCAAATCAAACAAAAGGCAAAAGACGCACGGCCATCCCAACCACCATAGAAAATACCCGCGAGTTAACGTTGGTGTTTGGCTCGAACCAGCTAGGACTTGTTTTCCAGTTTTAATCTAGTTTCCTGTGACGGCTTTAGTCTCTGTACACAAAGAGAAGGTCTTCCTTTCCCTCACCCACTCCCCTACCAAGACGAGAAAAACAGAAGTGTTTTTCTTCAAATAGATTTTCAAAGAAAGTGTACGTTACTGGGAAGAAAGCTGACTAGCATTTATGGCTGTAAACATTTTCAAAAGCATAAAGCTAAAACCTTAGCTTTATAAAAAGCAAAGTCGTCTAAAAGCATTTTAACTGGCTTATATTAGACAAGAGCAACAAAGACATACATGCAGATGAAGGTTCAGAAAATTAAGGACATCTCAGCAACATTAACATAGAAACTGCACTGCGTAAGGACAGAATGGATTGGGTACTTACAATGTAAAAGGTTTTTAAAAACTTAAAAAGAGTAACGACTGCTTACAATTTTTTGTTGCTGCCATTTCGCTAGTCCTAAAACTATACATTTAAAACATTACCTTGTTAAAAAAAAAAAAGCAGGAGTTAATAAGATGGCCAGGTTTAAGTGTTTAATAGAGGAAACTATATATATTTAAAAATTTATTGTTCAGTCAAGAGAATACAGATTAAGACAGCTCCAAGCTCCCCCCACCCACCCAAGAAAAAAAAAAGAGGAAAAAAAATTAAATATGTCATTTACTTAGGTTTTTTGGAATTCAAAATTGTTAACTGCTGACATTAATGGTGTGCTATGACCTAGTTATACAAGACAAAGATGGATTCCAAGTCATAAGGAAAAATCCAGATCTTTTTAAAAAGTCTTCTTCATTCTTCCAATTGTGAGTCCTTTAGCCTGTTGACAAATGTTAAACACAACACTGAGGCGTCCTGAACTGGATGGTGGAGTCAAAGGAAAAACATTCCCCATTTGCAACAAAGGAAAAACCCACTTGGCCATTTAATTCCATTGCAGAAAAATGGCTCCCCTCATCTGTTGGCCTCTCCTTGGTGTCTGATGAACGATGTTTTGAGATCAGCGTCTAATAACTCAAGCCCTATAGAAGCCGCGCGCTGATTGGCTGCCGCGCCCTGCCGCCCTGCTCCAGCCAATTACCTACCCACGGCCAAATTACAAACCCCGAAAAGAGCCCCAATATGAAATACACCACCACGAAGCCCCAGCAAGGCGGCTCCTTCGCCTCGGCAGCCCGAGAGGAGAGGCAGAGGGGGCTGCAAATGCGTCCCCGCGAAGCCCGGGAGCCTCGGAGTTGAACTCACAAAATGGAAGCCGCGCGCTGATTGGCCGCCGCCACTCCCGGACCTTTAATAAAGAAAGGGGAAGGAAAAGATAAATGCAAAAAAGGGGGACTCGCTCCTCTGCTGGTGGCTGGAGGAAGGGGGGGGAGAAGCATGTGTTTAGGACAATTACAGGGCGCTCCTCTCCAAAAATAAAAACAGAGCAAAAAGCTTCTATCACCCAGGTCCAGGCGAGGGCTACATCCTCCCAGGAATGTGAATGCTAATTTGGTTAAAATCCTGGTTTCCCCTCCCTAGCTCAGCTCCAAGGGGGAGGGGGTCTTGGGGCCGAGGAGGAAGCCGGAGCAGAGATACCTCGATTGCAACTCGTCTTGAGTCGTCTTGTCTCCCCCCACAGTTGCCAGCGTCTAAACACACAATCACACCCCCCCCAAAAAAACCCAGCCCTTTCCCCCCGAGCCCCCACGCGCCCACCTCCGGTCTTGGCAGTTTGGAAACAGTTTTGGAGGCCCCAGGCGCACGCCGCGGCGGCCGCGGCTCGGAGGGTAGCCCCAGCCGCGGGAGGTAGAGCCCGGGGAGACCCCCCTCCCCCGCCAGCCAAGCCCCCCACCTAAGTCCCAGCAGAATAAATAAATTAAAAGGCCTTCCCCCGGGGAGGGGGGGAGGCAGTGTGGGAGCGCGCGAGTGAGGGGTGGGGGGCCGCTGGGGCCCGGGGCTTTGGCGGCGCAGCTGCCGCCGCCGGGAGAGTGCCTGGGGAAGCGGCGAGGAAGGAGAGGGGAGGAGGAAGAGGAGGAGGAGGAGGAAGAGGAGGAGGGTGAGCGCTCGGGTCGGGCTCCTTAGCGGTGTATTGTGGGATGTGCGGCTACTGGGAGCCGAGCCTCCGCCGCCAGCCGCCTCCCGGGCAGCAGCAGCAGCAGCAGCAGCAGCAGCAGCAGCGGCGGCGGCGGCGGCGGCAGCAGCTCCGGGCCCGGCAGCCGCGGCGGCGGCACCCCCCCCTCCCGGCCCCCCGTCCGGCCGCCCCGGCCTCGGCTCCCGCGGGGGACACCATGTACTGGCTGGCGGCGCAGGGAGGCCGGCGCCCGGCGGGGATGTAAGCGCGGCTCCGGGAGGGAGAGGCCGCGGTCGGCAGCCGGGCGGCCCGAGCCCCCGGCCCCGGCCCCGGCTTCGGCTCCGGCTCGGGCCGAGCGGGCGGGCGGGCGGCGCCAGGCCTGCCGCGAGCCCAGCGCGCGAGCCGGGCCGAGCGAGCGAGCGAGCGAGCGCCACGCCGGGCGGTCAGGCGGCCGGACTGGCACCATGGGCCGGAGCCCGCGTCCTCCGGGCGCCCCGGGCCCCGCCAGCACGCCCCGGGCCCCCCCCGGAGCCCCTCACTGCCGCCCCGAGACGGTGGCCGAGCGGGCGGGCGCCTAATTCTCCCGGAAGGGTTATTCTCTCGCTCTATTCTTATTTTGGGGGGAGCCAGCGAGACAGCTCCTTTTGGGGCGCGCTGGTAAGGTTGGAGGGGGTGGGGGCTGGACGATCTGATTCTTTCGCGTGTGTGTAGAAGCGGCCGCCGCCGCGGCGGAGACGACAACAACTTGCTCGTTTTCAGGTTGGGTTAACGGCATGGAGAACAGTCACCCCCCCCACCACCACCACCAGCAGCCCCCGCCGCAGCCCGGCCCTTCGGGCGAGAGGAGGAACCACCATTGGAGAAGTTACAAGTTGATGATTGACCCGGCTCTGAAAAAGGGGCATCATAAACTGTACCGCTACGATGGGCAGCATTTCAGCCTGGCGGTGAGTAGCCGGCGCGCCTCCCCGCCGCCCCCACCCACCCCCAGCCGAGTCCGGGGCGGGGGGGAAAGGGTTCGAGCCGCCCAGGGTCCCCCCCTTCCAACCACCGGGCCAACTGTCAGCCGGGTCCCCAGTCCTGGAGTTTGACAAGTGCCTGGAGAAGGGGGTCTGCCCCTGCCCCTGGGGAGTGGGACCAGCCCTCCCATTCCGCCCCGCCCCCCCATGCCTCCCCACAGATGTCCAGCAACCGCCCCGTGGAAATTGTCGAAGATCCCCGGGTCGTTGGGATCTGGACCAAAACCAAGGAGCTGGAGCTGTCGGTGCCCAAATTCAAGGTAGGACCCCTCCCCCTGACCCCACGGTCTTCCCCCCGCCACTCCCCGAGTTCGAAAATAACGCCACTCCTGACCGAGCCCAGCCAGATTCTGAGTTCCCGCCGTCCACAGCCGGGGAAGTTTTGGCGGGGAGGGGGAGATGTCAGCGAGAGGGGAGACCCCTCTGGGCTACTGTAAACAGAATAACACTCAGTGAAACTGTAATCCAGGATCTGATACAGTGTCCTGCCGGCCCAGCTGGGGGCTCCGGGTCCCCACCTGGCTCCTGCCAGCCAGGCGGCTCTACCCCGGGACCCGCCCCCCTTCTCAGCCTTGTGGCTTAAGGGGGACAACTTCCTAGACCCAGGGTTCGCCCCTGACCCCGCAGCAGGGAGAGGAGGCCAGAATGGGGGGTGGGGAAAGAGAAACTGTTTCTTTTTCCCCTTTCCTTTCGAACCCAGAGGACTTCCACGTTCCAAACGATTTAATCCTCCGCTTCCCGGGCCCGCCCGCGTGCATTTTTTTTTCCAAAAAAAAAAAAAATATATATATATATATATATATTTTTTACCCTTCATTGTTTTCAGCGGGCATGCGAGTGGGGAATGTTGTTTCCCTTCGGTTTCAATGTTCTCCAAACTCCCTTCCCCCTCGTCCCTGCCAGATCGATGAGTTCTACGTGGGCCCGGTGCCTCCGAAGCAGGTGACATTTGCCAAGCTGAATGATAACATCCGAGAAAACTTCCTGAGGGACATGTGTAAGAAGTATGGGGAGGTGGAGGAGGTGGAGATTTTGTACAACCCTAAGACCAAGAAGCACTTGGGCATTGCCAAGGTGGTCTTTGCGACCGTCAAGGGAGCCAAGGAGGCTGTTCAGCATCTGCATAGCACTTCAGTCATGGGCAATATCATCCACGTGGAGCTGGACACTAAAGGTGAGTGGAGGCCTGCTTAGGACAACCTACCGTGGTGGGGGGGGGCAGGCCCTGTCACTATGACTCCTTTCCCTCCCAGAGCCCCTCTTGTAGTGTTGGGGACCCCCACAACCCTATTTTTTCTTTTGCCCCCTCCTGAGAGTAGAGTCACGTGGAGCTAAATGTGTTGTCTGTTGCTAGGAGACAAGCTATAATTTACCAAATGTGCTGTCCTTGGCTACTGCATGTACCCCCAGGGACCTCCCAGAGGCTTCCCCACCACTGACACCCTTGCGGGCCCTTCTCGGAGCCCTGGTGGCCTGGGTTTAGGCGGTCCCCAGTGTTGCCATCTGGGTTAGGGGAGGAGGCAGGGTTTGTTTATTTGTGAGGGGCCGAGGGAGAGCCGCTAGAATGTCTTTAAATACACAAAGGGTAGGTCCTTCAACTAAAAAGAGGGCCCTCCAAGGATCCAGGGTCCCAAACCCCCCAGTGCTACCCCTTCCCTCTGGAGGTGGAAACCAATCTGGGCCCAGAGTGTGGTTTCATTGATAATGTTCCGATAGAGCTGGGCGGGCTGCTCTGGGTGCTCAAGAGTTGACACTGTGCCTTCCCTCCTCTCTCTTAAAGAGACAGCAGCACCTCCGGTGCATTGGAATCCCGCTCTGTGCTCCCTCTGAGCTGGCTGCTGGGAGAGTGGAGCTGGAGAAACCACCCTTCCTCCCTTAGGTTCTTGGGAGGAGAAGCTGGATGCTGGATAGAGGGGCTTGCAGGACTCTAGGGCATCCCCCAAAGTTTGCCTGTGGCCTCTCTAGGGAAGTTCCCACCAATATAGAAGGTGCTGGGTGCCCTGAGGAGCAGCCTGCCCTGTGACTGGACAGGCACTGTTGGGTCCAGTGCCTCTTGGGGTCTCCTGGGAGATACTGCCTGGGAGGGCTTTGGTTGGCAGCTTCCAGGAGTTCTGTGAGCATAGGGTTTGGGGGCAACCAGGGCATACCAAACCCAAGCCGGAAAATCCAGACCCTTCTTTTTTGCTTTTAATAATGAATACCTACTGACTGGGTCTCTAAGCCCTTGCTGGAGGTTGTGGAGGGACGCTGGAACTGGGTGGGCACAGTTATCCCACAAAGTCTTGCCAAGCCTGTACCTAGTTCTGAGTTTCCTCAGGGCACAAGCCCAGGTTCCTGCCTAAGCCACAGCACCCCTCTCCCGACCTCTAGTATCTCAGTCTCTGTCAGGGGCATACAGACCCTTCCAAATCTACATATCCCTTGGGTGGCTGCAGTCTGATGTCTCTCTGAGAATTGAATATGGAGCCCTCTCCCTGTCACATGCCCATTTCATTTCTGAAAAGGGGAAAGAGAAAAAAAAAAAAGGGAGGCCCTCAGAGACTGCCAACTAACTTCGTATTTCGAATTTCGAGAAAGAGACCAGTAAAGTGTAAAGTGTAGCTCAAGGAATGCGTCTCCTTTGCATATGTAAGCAGCTGCTTCAGAGGGCTCTATAAATATCAATAATCTGGGGCCCCCTGCTCTGTAGAGGCCTCTCTTTGCTGTGGGGGGAGGGTTACCAGACAGGACTCTGTGGGACTGAGTCCCAGGCAGACCTGGGGAGCCTGGGGAGCCTGGTCAGAGGAGGAGGCCTGTGGAGTTCACAGTAATGTGGTGCCAGAGTGTGTTTTACAAACTCTGCTGGTCACCTGGCCCCAGATAGTTAGCAACAAACTGTGGCCTCTGTGTCACTGGGTCTCTCCACTTGCTGCAGGCTCTGGCTGATAGGGAAGACCTGACTCGTTGGGTGCCATGGCCCAAGGGACAGGAAAAGGCTTTGTGTTGGGGGTGGCATTTCTGTTTTGGGGGAGTCCCAGTCGCACAAAGGATTAAATTCTGAATCTTAAGGTCAGAAAAATCATACAGTTTAGCAGCTTCGTTGAACAGATAAGACTTCTCAGTGAGGTGCAAAGAGAGGTGGTTACCCAGTCAGGGTCACACAACTTCCCAGCCTTGGGGTCTCAGGCACAAGGGGCCTACAGGGAAGCCAACCTGTGGGGTCTGCCCCAACCTGGAGCCTTCCTCAGTCCTCCCTCCCTTGCCCTTCCCACAGGGGAAACCCGAATGCGGTTCTACGAACTGTTGGTCACGGGCCGATACACACCCCAGACCCTCCCAGTGGGTGAGCTGGATGCTGTCTCTCCAATCGTGAACGAGACCCTGCAGGTGGGTAGATCACCATCAGCACCACCCCCCTCACACACACACACACACACACACACTCACACTCATCACCAGCTTCTGGTGTGCCCCCCTGCCCCCACTTCACCATCTCCAGCGTTGGACTCCAGAGCCCAGGAGGGAAAGGAGCCTGGCCTTGCCCAGGCTGGGATTTCCAGAGACCCACAGCCTACTAGGGCTTACTTTGTGTTGGTGCTGAAACGTTGCTGTGTCTGATGTCCTGTGCACTGCTCTGCCCCTGCCCCCAGAAAGCGGAGTATAGGTCCCTCCTTCCAGAGCAAGACTGACTCCTTACTCAACCACCGCCTTCCACCTAGACCGCCCTCACATGGGGAAATTCTCAATCAGCCCTTCCCCAACAACTCAGCTGCCCTGAGGAGCAGCTTTGCCAGAATGAAGCGTCTTTTGCTGACTTGCTGGGTTGTTCGTTAGGCACTTTAACCATGTCATGCTGTTTAACTCCTAAAACACTGGGAGACTGGAGGGAACAGGGCCCTTGGCCACCCCCTCACTCCCCAAACCATAGTTCTTCCTGCTGGAAGGTCTTTGATTTCTGACAATCTGAGACAGGAGGGAAATCCCAGTTCAAACCAAGATGTCAGGATCTTCTCCTTTCTCTGCTTTAGGGATTATAAAAAATCCTCAAGTTTCCTTGAGGATAACCGGATATCCTAAGATTAGAGAAAAGTTAGGACCATCCAGAAACTCCTCTTCAATCTCCTGCCCCCCCCTTCCTTTTACCGTACTGCAGTTCTAGCGTGGCCAGCTTGGCTCTGAGATCCCCCGAGTGAGAAGGGAGAACAGCCCCCTCCCACGGCAGGATTCCCCCCAGGGATCTCACACACCGCTGCCCCTCTCTTTCTCTCTCCCTAGCTGTCAGATGCTCTGAAGCGCCTCAAGGATGGTAGCCTAGCTGCTGGCTGTGGCTCCGGCTCATCCTCTGTCACCCCCAATAGTGGTGGGACACCCTTCTCCCAGGACACTGCATACTCCAGCTGCCGCCTGGACACACCCAACTCCTATGGACAGGGCACACCGCTCACGCCGCGTCTGGGCACCCCCTTCTCGCAGGACTCCAGCTACTCCAGCCGCCAGCCCACACCCTCCTACCTCTTCAGCCAGGACCCCACAGTGACCTTCAAGGCCCGGCGCCATGAAAGCAAGTTCACAGATGCCTACAACCGCCGCCACGAGCATCATTATGTCCACAACTCCTGTGCGGTCACTGCAGTGGCAGGGGCACCAGCCGCCTTCAGGGGCTCTGTGGACCTCCCGTTTGGGGCAGTCAGCAGCAGTGGGGGCAACGGTGGCCCTCCGTTCAAGGCCCAACCACAGGATTCGGCCACGTTCGCCCACACTCCACCACCTGCCCCAGCGACCCCCACTCCTGGAGTCACATTCAAGTCGACTTTCTCTCCGTATCAGACCCCTGTGCCCCCTTTCCCCCCACCCCCTGAGGAGCCCGCCACCGCAGCCGCCTTTGGGGCCCGCGACAGTGGGGAATTCCGGAGAGCACCTGTGCCCCCACCCCTGCCACCCACTGAGCCCCTGACCAAGGAGAAGCCGGGCACACCGCCTGGCCCACCACCTCCTGATGCCAACAGCATGGAGTTGGGTGGCCGGCCGACCTTTGGCTGGAGTCCTGAGCCCTGCGACAGTCCAGGCACGCCTACGCTGGAGTCATCACCTGCGGGGCTGGAGAAGCCCCACGACAGCTTGGACTCACGCATAGAGATGCTGCTGAAGGAACAGCGCACCAAGCTGCCTTTCCTTCGGGAGCAGGACTCGGATACGGAGCTGCAGATGGAGGGCAGCCCTATCTCCTCCTCCTCCTCCCAGCTCTCCCCACTGGCCCCCTTTGGCACCAACTCCCAGCCAGGCTTTCGAGGCCCCACACCGCCCTCCTCACGCCCCTCCAGCACCGGCCTGGAGGATATCAGCCCCACGCCACTGCCCGACTCAGATGAGGATGATGAGCTTGACCTGGGCTTGGGGCCCCGGCCCCCTCCGGAGCCAGGCCCCCCGGACCCTTCTGGTCTTCTGGGCCAGACAACTGAGGTAGCCTTGGACCTGGCTGGAGACAGGACCCCAACCTCAGAGAAGATGGATGAGGTACCACCATGTCTGTCCACCTCTGTCTTGGATTGGTTTTGTCTATCTTGTGTCTCCCTCTTTCCTCCTCTGAAACATTACCTCCTTAGGACAATTAGCTAAAACACAGAAGCAACAGGGTTAGGGCAGCTAAAATAACAGGTCAAATACAGAGAATAAAAAGAGAATGCAAAAAGCACCAGGGGCTGTGATTGAGCTGCTGGTTCGGCTCTGAGCAGCCTAGCAGCCATAGAGAGAAGGGAAACATGACCTGGTTCTGTTGCTCTCCTGTTAGGTATGGGAAGTTGAGACATTTCAGTCTCAACTTCAGGATCAGTTCTGACTTGAGCTTCTTGGGTAGGAGTTTACCGAGACCCCAGATAGTATGGACTGTGGTAATGGTTCTGGATCCCCTCCTCTGTTGGGTGGCTTGGGGGTGATCAGGGCTGATCCTGACACTCAGGCTTATTTGGGGAGAGGGATTAGCCAGAGCATTCTTAGGCTAGGCCAGGTGGGAGGTCTGGAGTACTGTCTCCTAGAACCTAGTGCCCTCTGAAGAGATGGGAGGCCAGGGTGGGCAGGGAGGGCATTGAAATTCCCCTTAGCCCTCTCCCTCTGTCCCCAGGAGTGAAGGAGTTAAGGTTAGCCCAGGGGGAGGGCCACAGCCAGAAACAGGCAAAATTGACCATTCTCCACCGCTCCTCACCCATAGATCCTCATCTGGGGTCTTATTACCCAAATCTCCAGCCTCCAGGTTGGGGTGGGGGCTGCTGTGTGCTGCAGTCCCTTGGAGGGAAGGATTAGGTCATCTTCCGTTGGTTCAGCTCCTCCCCATTTCTGGTCCAGGCACCTGTCCTGGCCCTCCCAAAGACCTGGGTTGGAACCTGTGCGCCCAGCGGGCATGAGCAGCCAGGGACTTAGAGCTCTGTGCCCCTGTGGGCGGCAGGAAGGAGGGTTCCCCCCCCCTTCCCAGGCCCTTTGATTAGGCATGTTTGGCTGCCTCAGGGAGGAACAGAGAGGAACTTGGCCTGCCCAGGAGGGGACTGCAGGTGGCCGGTGCTCCAGAGGGCCTCCAGACTGTTCTAGGGAAGTGGTTTCTGGTGCCAAGGGGTCTGAGCAGGAGGAGCTGACAGGTGTGCAGAGGTGGGGGGCTGATAGCCCTGCCATCTTCCCTCTGTTACCCGCGGTGAGGGGATGTTTACCAGTGCTGACTGGCTGGTCCAGGACTGGGAAGCCCAGAGTAGCCGGAGGGACTGGGCTCTCCCATCTTGTCACTGTAGGGAACGGGAGACCGAGGCCCAAGAAAGGTGGGGTTGGGATGCCCCAGGACATTAGCCCTGGGAAGACCACAGTACTGATAACGTCCAGGCTGGCCCTCGGGCGCCCCCTGCTGGCAGCCTGGAGAGCAGCACCCGGGCTCCCCAGACTGAACGGGAGGCTGTCCCACCCAGCTCAGGCTGAAGACTCCAGAGAGAGAGCAGGGAGCACCGCTGAGGGACATTCCCTTTCTTCACAGAGGCTGGTGGTTAAAAGTTCAGGCTCCAGTCCTTGAGCCTGGAGACCCAGCTCTGTCACTCACTGGTTATGTGACCTTGGGTAAGGCACTTTCCCTCTCTGAGACTTAGTTTCATCGTATGTGAAATGGGACGGTGGAAGTACCTGCCGCACACTGTCTTCGGCTTAAGTGAGGTGCCGCAAGGGAAGCTCCAGGCACGGCGGCGCGCGCTGGTGCTGAGCACTTCAGCGCTCGGCTAGTTCCCGCTGGTTCTCACCCCCACCCCCAGGCGCCGGAGGGGCGGAGGGAGGGGCAGGGCCGAGGGCTGGAGCGCAGGATCCGGGTCTCCTTGCGATTGGCTGGCCGCGGTGCCGGCTTAACCCTCCGTGTGCTGCGCTCGCCTAGCTGGGCGCTGTCCGGGACTGATCTCCCGGGCTCTGGCCCTGAGAATCATGCTGAGCCTGCCAGTCTTTCCTCCAGCAAGTGCTTGCGGACCCCGGGGGGGGGGGGAGTGTATGTGTAGAGGGGGGTCTGGCAAAATCAAGAGCTTCCTACCACTGCTGAAAGTTTGGTATTCCTCCCCGCGGCGCTCCCCCTCTCCCATTTCCCTTTGTGGACTCGCTCTCCTGAAGATCTGACCTCTAACCTTACAGCCTCTACAGACGCCGCCCCCTCAGCCTTCAAATGCACTCCCTGTCTCTTCCAGCCTACAAAGGCTCTGTCTCCTTAGCCAAGTTCATCTAGGGCAGGTCCTGAGCCTAGTCACCTCTTGTCCTGACACTAGAGCCTGGGGGCGATCCAACTCTCCTCTCCCCCACCCCTGCTTGGCCTTTTCACTCCACCTCTGCCATGTACACCCAAGTGCCCCCTTCCAGTTCCAGGCCTGTGTGTCGAACTCCCCAAAGCCCTGTGTCCTGGTGTAAAGGGGCCGTGCCCATTTCAGAGCTGGGGTCCTCCTCAGCTCCTCCCCTGTTCACCTGGTACCCCTGAATCCAGGGGATCCATCCTGAGCTTGAGTCCCAGCCTTCTTTCTGACTGGCTGTGCCTCCTGGGCCAGTGGCTTTGGGCCTGTTTCCTCACTTGTCAGAGGGGTTGGAGTAGACCCCCATCTTGCTAGGTAGAGTGCAGATGAGAAATGAAACACAGCACTCAGCCCCACACTGGCTCACACTAAGTGTGCAGTCTCAAGACTAGATGCGAAGAGTAACTAAGGAAAATAAGGACATACCTCCTGTTCATACGGCCTTAAAACTGCGAAACCTTGTTGCTCAAACGTCACCTTGGCCACCTGGCTCTCTCCGCCTCAGTGAGGATGGCAGGCTGACTGGGAGCGCAGGCTGGGGAGCCACTTACTGGTTTGAATCCTGGTTCCATCTCTTATTGGCTCTGTGGCCCTGGGCAAGTTACCTAAGCTTTCTGTGTTCCAGTTTCCTCGGTAAAAATGGAGATAGCAGATCTACCTTGTAGAGTTGTTCTGGGGACTGAGTTAATATATCTATCAAGTCCTTAGAAAGATGGTCAGACATTGGAAGCACTGTAGCACTTTAGTATTACCTTTTCTGAGTACAAATGGAAATAGAATCTCTCAAGCTGACAGAATCTGCTTCCCTCTTCACATCGTCTCCCTCCCCAGCTTCCTTTTTCTCCATGGTGGGCTGTGTATTTCACATCTTCATTCTGCTTATCCTTTGCCTCTTCCCTCTTGAAGCTTAGCTCCATGAGAGCAAGGATTTTGTCTGTCTTGTTCACCGCTGTGTCCCCAGCACCTAGAACAGTGCCTGGCCCACAGCAGGTGCCAAGCAAGTGTTTGTTGAATGAATGAATGAGTCCTCATAAACTGTGAGGCAGGTACTGGGATGCCCATTATGCAAACGGGGAAACTGGGGCTTAGCAAGGTTAAGTGACTCGCCAAGGTCACATGGTCCAGAAGGGAGGGGACCAGGATCTGAACGGTAGAATCCATGTTGCTTCTGAGTCTTGCGGAAGGCTTCTGTGACTTTCTGGTGTTTGGAAGGGTTCTACGAGCCAACTTGGCCTCCCAGGCTTAACCTCACCACTCTCTCCTGGCTCTCCCTGCAGGGCCAGCAGTCCTCGGGCGAGGACATGGAGATCTCGGATGATGAGATGCCCTCAGCCCCCATCACCAGCGCCGACTGCCCCAAACCCATGGTGGTGACCCCAGGGGCGGCAGCCGTGGCGGCCCCCTCTGTGCTGGCTCCGACCCTGCCGCTGCCCCCACCCCC